CGCTCGGCAGTGATGGGACCGCCGCGGGTGGCGGAGGCGCAGCGCGGGGATGTGGATGGCGGCGGCATCGGTAGGAGCCAAAGGAAGCGGTCAGCGTTGGTCTGGGTTCGTGACAATTCGTGGGTGACCAGGTTTGCGGGTTGATGGGTTAGAGGCCCGATCAGACCCGCATCGGACGGTCATTATTGCGTGACGGGTCGATCGAACGGCTGTTGGGTTAGCGGGTTACGAGGCACTATCGGGTGCCCGCTTTTGGTGCATGAATCATATATAGAGATTATTATCGTTAGATAGATCATTAAATCTATTTTTATAATAACTGTCGGTGCAGAAAGTGACCAACAAGTAAATATTTGTAGTTTTATCGTACGTTGTGATCGGAGGTGGCCTAGCACTCAATGACACAAGGTTTATACTGGTTCAGGCAACGTGCCCTACGTCCAGTTTGAGTCGGTCGGTGACTTTATTCCTGAGCCCAGGTGCTTGAAGTTTGCAGTGGGGTTACAAACGAGAAGGAGAAAGATGGGGTGTACAAGAGGTTCGGTTGGCTCTGGTCGGAAGGGCCGAGAGCGACAGGAGCTCCGCTATGAGCTAAGTGTTCAAGCGTGTGCTTGAGGTCTGAACCTAGCGGTTCTGTGGTTGTGAACTAGTGAACTTGGTCGATCTAATGAATCTGGAATGACTTGTATGAACTTGAATCCACTGAGTTTCTTGGGAGAGAGCGCATCCCCTTTTATAGATGAAGGGGATGGCCTTACAAGTGAGAGGGAGGGAGTATGTATGCTTCTAAGCCTTGCTGCGCACGTCAGTAGGTACAGGATGATGGTAGGCGCCCACAATATTATTGGTTGTCAGATGCACATGGGAGGTCACGTCGTATTGTTTGGGTATGGCAGATGTCGATACCTGCAATACTGTTGATGTCTAGAGGCATGTGATGGGTTTTACCATGTTCTCCTGGTACGGTAAATGCCGGCGCCCACAACACTGTCGATGCCCAGAGGCATGTGGGGGGCCTTACCGTATGGGAGTTAATGGCGCCCACAAAACTGTAGGAAAAATGTCGGCGCCTACAACACTGTTTGTGCCAGGGCGGTTGCAGAGTACTGTTCCTACAGGTGTATAGGGTACGGTCCCTGATATCGTGTTTTGACTTGTGCACCATGCCTTGCTTTCTCCGTTCGTCTCCGGTCCTTTCCGAGCAGGCGTCCCCGGTCGGTTGGTCCCAGTCGGCTCTGGTTGCGCCTATCGGAGAAGAGCAGTGAGTAGGGTTTTGCCGTACCCCGGTCGGAGTCGGAAGTAGCGTTTTGGCCAGGCCTTCCGGTCGGAGAGGTCGTCCGGAGGCGGCCGGAGTCGGAGCGAGCGCTCCGGTCGGAGAGGTGGGCCGGAGGTGGAAAATGGGTGCCGCTCCTCCTCGGCCAGACCTTCCGGTCGGTGATTGGACTGCCCTTCTGCCCTGTCGTTCAGATATTTGGGCTGGCCCATGAGCCGCGCGCTGTCTGCTTAGGGTCGAGCTTTTATTGGGAAATCGCCCGCGAGGGACCCCGGGTTTATGGATCCAACAATAACCTTATTTGAAGATACAAATGACGCTAATATTTTCTAAAAAATAGTTAAGCTTTAAAAGATTGACCAACACGAATACCATAACATATTTAAAAAGGACGCAGAGAGTGCTAACTTGCTTGTCCGTTGAAAAAGGGCCTTCTGTTATGTAATTGCTATGTTATTTAGTCGTTTATTAAGTTATAATCTCCAGACCTTGACCACTCGATTTGTAGAATTAGCAGTATGTAACTAGTAAATTTTGGGTGCTCTCGAGTGCTCAATTATATACTATATATTTACATAATTGAAGATGAGACAACGGTTTACTCCCCCTCGTTTCCGGCTTGGTTCTGAGCATTGGGACACTCAGCCGCCTTCTTCAGCCAAAATCCATGTGCTCGTAGCACGCACTAGGTACTAGAAACTGCCACTAAACTCCTCATTGAAACTGATCTATAAGAATGTACAATAAGAACAGCTTTATTATCGTTTATTCTCATAGCAAGATGTTAAGAAAGCCATGTCATCAAATTACATACTAACAAAATTTGCTCAAATATATAACTTCAGATCATGCTGCTAGTATGGTCCCATTGAATGATAAAACATTATTATGACAAACAACTTTCTCCACCCACTTCTCATCCTTCCAATAGCCAGGCCAATTGTCTGTTCTTTTGGATCGGTGCCTAAATAAGCTACAAGTGCTTAGATTCGAAGCTAGCACCTTTGCTCCAACGTATTGTACCTCTTCTACTTGCACCTTCTTAGTACACCTATTAGAGCTCTCTAATGATTATAGCCAAGCTACTCAATGTTTTTGCTAACGTGGAGTAATGGAGGAGAGAATAGAGGAGAGCTTGGCTCTCATACAAACACCAAACTAGACACGCCCAAATAGCAAGTGCTTGTGAGGAGGTACGAAAGAGAACACGAGATATGGTACCACATAATAATAAAAACACTTTTTTAGGCAAATAGAAGACAACTATCATATAATTCGGCTCTTTTATAACTTAATTATATTCAAACACTTTACTATATTATTGGCATTGCTCTAATACATCTTTATTTTTATCATCTCTCATTCTTGTTGTCTATGCACCATACATTTTTTTATTCCTCTTAATTCCGCACCCAAAATTAAAATGACAAATAATATGGTTGGAGGCAGTACACTACAGACAGATTCTTTTTTTAGGACTACAGAGAGATTTCGAGCCATAGATTGGAGGGGGGTCGGGGGAAGGAGAGGATCCTGCCAAGCGACGACGAAACCGTAGTAGAACGTCATTGGTCTGCGACAGGCGCGTCCCGTGGAGCCCAACTGGCACCTGCCCAAGGGCTCGGCGGCCGTCCCTGCCCACAAGGCCGGCCGCGGCGCGCGTGGCCCCTCGAGAATCCAACGGCCGGCCACGTTGGGCCCACCCCCGTCCCGCCCACCAGATCGGCGCGTAGCCCATGGATCCTCCAACTCTACGGGCGCCCAACGAACCGCATCGCGTCCCTCTCACGTGACGCCTGCACCTGCACCGCATGCACCCAGATCAGAACAAAGCTGCTGAGTGCTGACCCAACCGGTACGTACAATACATGGCCCGGTGAGGAGGGCCCACCGTGTGGAGCCGTGGAGGAAGCGTGTGTTCACTTGCCTTTATAAACCGTACTTTTCGGCCAATAAATAGTATTTTTCTTTCACAATAAATTAGCCAACAGTATTTTTAAGTCTGCTTATAAGCCATGATAAGCCATGACTAAAAATATTATTGGCTAATTTATTGTGAGAGAAAAATATTATTCGTTAATTAAAAAATACGGTTTATAAGCTAAACGAATAGGACGTTGATGTGGCTGGGTGAAGCATATCAGATGTCAGGGCCTACTTTTCATAGGAGTAATATTGTCATTTGCCTTGTATTCTACCGTGAAGTTAAGACCGTCTCCAACAAGGAGCTTATATGGACATCCAAACTTAAAATGGGTAGTAAAATATCTAAAATCAGTCTCCAATAGAGTAATTATACGGGAGAACTATTTTGGCTTGCCTGAGAGGCACAACCCAAATATGGCATTATCTCTCCTAGAAATATATTTGCAAAAAAAGATTATCTTTTAGATCTTGTTGTTGGAGAAGATATCGAATAAGTATTAAACCTTTTGCATGTAGTACTACCAAAAAAACAAATGAATCTTATATTTTTAGTGTTGTTGTTGAAGATAGCGCTTTTAGCTTTTGCCTCTTCCAGCATGTATTTTTTCGAGCATTCTAACAAATGGGACTGCTCGCACTCGCACGGCCTCGACGTTCCTAAACGTTTGCTTGGCTCTTCAAAGCACGAAAACCACGATCACCTTCGTTTTGTTCTACCCTGCGTGGAGCATTCTACACGCAAATGTGACTCAAAGTTATCCAAAAGCGAATAGGCAAGTGTCATGATGACATTTTAATGCGCAAAAAGCCGTACGGTACGATTTTCCACAATACTGTAGGTCTATAGCGTGTGGAGAGCATATCTAACAACTCAGCACTTCGAGCGTTCCTTTTCTGTTGAATCCGTGACCTCGGCGTCAAGCTTGTGCACTTCTGAATTTGTGCACTATACGTAATCTAATCCAGCTGCTTCCAATAATGCAAAAAAAGAAAACCATATTCGGATGTGCCCGCACGGAAATGTCGGCGACCCATCTCCTCTCCTCCAGCATTGATTTCGCCCTCGTTTAGTTCGCGAAATTTGGATTTTGCGATTTGGCAAATAGTCCGACTAATTAGGCTTAAACGTTCTCTGTGCAATTAATTTTTCTTTTCGTCACATTTAATGCTCCAATGCAATCGTAAAACATTCACGCGACATGTGGCCAAGGGCTCGTTTTATTGTGGGCGAGGTCCGTCTGTCTCTGTGTGCGCAACACTCCAACCCGGGCATTAAAAAGATCGTCGTGACTCCCGCGAGATCCAGCCAATGGGCGACGCCCACCGTTCCCACCGGGCCCCTCGTGCAACAGTAACCGATAAGCCCAGCGTCCCGACACGCACCTCCGCGGGCACGTGCCGGTCCACGCCTGGGCATCTCGCTCCCGATAAGGCAGTGCGGGTGTGGTCACGCCACCAACCTTCCGTATAAATATTTCACTTACCCCCTCGGGATCCCGAAGAATCGCACACTCCGCGCTGCTTCACACTAATACCTTTTTCCGCTTCGAGGATCCGGAGCGCTCCGCTTTTCTGCCCTCGGTTGGGGTTTCCGCAATTCTGCTCATCGGAGTCGGAGGAGGAGCTTCTGTCGTTTCGGTGGCCGGAGTAGAATCTGCAGGGCCGAGATGGTGGTGCATCTGACGGTGCTGGCTTGAGTTGCTGCCTCGCGAGGTTCGGTTGGGTTTTGCTAGGGGAGAGTTGCTGGTACCTGCGGCTAGTATAGGAGCTGAATTGGAAGGAAGCAGTACTGGAGGAAACGATGAGCTTCGGTGCTGTGGACATGGAGGAGGAGAGCGGCGCCGCGGCGGCGGCCGCAGCGGCGGAGGAGATCCGGCGGCTGCCGGCCGAGGTGAACTGGGAGATGCTCGACAAGTCGCGATTCTTCGTCCTGGGCGCGGCGCTCTTCTCGGGCGTGTCCGCGGCGCTGTACCCGGCCGTGGTGGTCAAGACGCACCTGCAGGTGGCGCCGCCGCCGCAGGCGGCCACGGCCACGGGGACGGCCGCCGCCATCCTCCGGCGGGACGGCCTGCGCGGGTTCTACCGCGGGTTCGGTGCGTCGCTGGCCGGCACGGTGCCCGCGCGCGCGCTCTACATGGCGGCGCTCGAGGTCACCAAGAGCTCCGTGGGCTCCGCCGCCGTCCGGCTGGGCGTGTCCGAGCCCACCGCGTCGGCCGTCGCCTCCGCCGCGGCGGGCGTGTCCGCGGCCGTCGCGGCGCAGGTGGTGTGGACCCCCGTGGACGTCACGAGCCAGCGGCTGATGGTCCAGACCTCAACCTCCTGCCGCTACCGCGGCGGCGCGGACGCCTTCCGGAAGATCCTCCTCGCGGACGGCGTCCGCGGCCTCTACCGCGGATTCGGCCTCTCCATCCTCACGTACGCGCCGTCCAACGCGGTGTGGTGGTCGACCTACGCCGTGGCGCAGCGGTGCCTGTGGCGCGCCGTCGGGCACGAGCGCTCCGAGAGCTGCGCCTCCCTGATGGCCGTGCAGGGCGCGAGCGCGGCCGTGGCCGGGGCCGCCGCGGCGCTGGTGACCATGCCGCTGGACACCGTGAAGACGCGGCTGCAGGTGATGGAGGCCGACGCGGCGGCGCGCCCCACGCTGGCGAGCACCGTCCGCGGTCTGCTCAAGGAGGGCGGCTGGGCGGCGTGCTACCGCGGGCTCGGGCCCAGGTGGGGGTCCATGTCGCTGTCCGCGGCCACCATGGTGACCACCTACGAGTTCCTCAAGCGGCTCTCCGCCAAGGAGGGCTCCTTGGGCTAGATCCTTCCTTCGCCGTCCTTGTTAACCGCAACGATCTCGTCAAGCGACTCTACCGTATCGCCCGCGTGTCCCCGCCGTCCTCGAAGTCGAAGGTCGAGCCGTTCGATCCATGGGGATGGGGGGTTGGATGGTTAATTAGGATCCTCTCTTCTCTCTTGTACATGTTTGCCGTCGTTCTTGTTTTCTTGTACATGTTTGCCGTCGTTCGATCCATGGGGATGGGGGGTTGGATGGTTAATTAGGGTGGGCAGGAAGAAGAAGATGAACTAGAAGGGGTTTTAGGATGCAAAAAAAATTTGCTGGCTTTTGCTGTGGCCATGCTGCTGCTGCTTATGATGATGATGAAAACTTGTGCCCAAAACTTGCGTCGATTTCCCTGTCCACTACAGTACCCCGATGTCTTGCGTCTACCAATGGACATATGTCAGCATTGAATCCTGTTCACCGCGTTCATGCTAGTTTCAGTTTATTCTCTCTCCCAAAACACTGTTCAACCAGCCGAAATATGTTCTGTGCACCGTCCGAACTCACTCGTTGTAGGTTTTGCCTAGTTTTGTTTCCCAGTGCTGTTGCTCTAGCTGCGTCGCTGTCATGGCGTTGCTTCATGGAATGGAAGACTCGATGCGCGCCTGCTGTCGCCGTGTCGCGTCGCTTCTTTTCGCCATTTTCTTCGCTTCGTTTTGAGTAGTACCCGGGGAGGAGTGGGGTGGAGCTTAGCTTAGCTTGGCCCGGGACAGCGAGGGCGAAGATGTCCTTCCCACCGGACTTTCGCGTGTTCTTTTTATTTATAAGCTATATTTTTTCAAGCAAACGAATAATATTTTTTTCTCGTAATAAATTAGTCAACAGTATTTTTAGTCATGATTTATCAACCAAATGAACGGAGCCAATGGGCCATTATCCATCGGCTTGGTGTTGCTGTAGGCTGGTGTACCGCGCTTCGATGAACCTCTCCTTCGGGATTCCCGGAACCTTGGACACGAGAAAGAAAAGGAGGAGCCGGAGGCGCGAGAAAAGTTGGGTCGCACGATAGATCAGTCCACTCCACAGGTGAAGTGGCGACGGGTTCGAATTCGGTTGCTTGAGAAGGCAGGGTGCTTTGACATTGGAGGATTAGAAAAGGCTCTAGGAATTTGGTGGACGATTAAAAAGGATCTAGAATTTCCCGAGCATGACATCATGATAGCGAAAGAAATGCGGATATGAACACCTGTATAGATCAGGCGGCAGGTGGTGATGTTTGCTAGGCTGCGTATGATAAGCTGTGCTCCCCGGTTCTCACACACACGCTAGCGCTTGTTTGACTCGTTTGATATAGATCGACCGGAGAAGCCTCGAGAAACCTGGCCGTCGTCTACACTCACATGACGCATAAAAAGAAGCAGCAACTGCAGATCACCGGAGAGCACGGATCAATAGGCAGGTGGGCCGCTACTGCCGTCTCGGTCCAGTGCAGCCACAGTCAGCTCCGGTCCTTCCCCTCCGAACCAGGATCTGGGTCTGGCCATGGCGTGGCGCGTCATATGACGCCTGACGGCCGGGTCCGGGCACGCGCGTCGCTCCGTGCGGTTTCCGTTGGATTCTCCTCGTCGCTTTGCCTCGGCTCGATTGATAGGCTACGAACTCTAGAGTAGGTAACGACGGATCAGTCGTCGCGTTCTCCGAATCAAGAGGCTGCACCGGTCCTGGATTTGGCTGCCATATGGTCCCTCTCCCTCCTGCCTGGCTGTCTCTAATGGTCTCATCCACAAATGGCCTCGTTGGCATCTTACGCCATGTTTGTGTTTGGCTTATAAACCATGGCTAAAAGTAATGGTCTCGTTCGCTGATCTAAAACTTGGCTGAAACTGGCTGATTTTGTGAGAGTGCAACACTGTAGCTGCTGGTTGATGAACAGTGTTTGCTGAGGGGGATCAGCCGGCTGGTCTGGACCATCCAAACCAGCGAACGCGTCCAATGTTGACTGATTTGTTGTGAGAGAAAAATACATTTCGTTGGCTGATAAGTCATGACTTATAAGCCAAATACGACCAAACGAACAGGCTGTTAGGATCTGGATTAGGTGCGGGATGATTTTTTATTTGACAACATCATGTCGTCTTGTCAGCATTCCTACCTCATTAGACTAATTTTACGACCTTTTTATAGTAATACCTAGGACGGTACTGTTTCAGCTTGGTATGATCTACTAAAATTCTAGGATTTTTTCATATGGAAATACCAAAAGTCTTGATTTTAAAGCTTTCACAGTTTCACAGCTCCACCCTGGTTGTCAAAGACAGAATCCACACGCTACGGACGCATGCTTCTTTCAAAGAGAACTGGGTTCTACGGAGTCGTCATCTCAATGGCTACGACAAAGACTATGGCTCTGTTCCCTTGGTTGAGAAGTAATGTTGGCTAATTTATTATGAGAGAAAATATTATTCGTTTGCTGAAAAAGTACGGCTCGAACGCAAAGCAAACGGGGCCATGTGTCATCAGGCAGCCGACCACGAATGTTGACGCGAGCGACTAGAACAACAAACACTGCGAGACGGCATAAAAAGGGAGCAAATCGAGGCATGCATCGAGGTCGTTGATTGATGAGTAACCGTCTTGCCAATTTCCTCCTGTCTCCTTGGAGCGAAGGGCAAGGCGAGCGGCTAGTCCAAAAGACATGAATAACGAAGCATCTGTCGATGCCACTCATTGAAGGTTTACGGTGACGTGCAGTGAAAACGTGCCACTGTCGCGGATCGTGTCAAACATCGCACTTACTGTATATTCCACAGTGCATTTTTTTTTGGTAATGGTTGGAAAATTACGCGGTAATCAAGGCTAAATTACTTCTGAGTTAGTGTAATAAGTGCGGGAACATGTAAAGTCATTCTTTCGAGTGCCTCGTCCACACGGAAGGTGACCTGGCCGGCGACGGTACCAGACTACTACCAGTTTGACAGTTTCAGTAATCCTCGCCCTGGCGTGTAGCGTCTTGACGTTAAAGCTGTGCTAATCTCATCAGTAATGTGTGATGTGCATGTCAGTGACGGAGTCACGGCGTGATAGATTGACAGTTACCTCAAACCTACGTCTCGCTCTTGCGCCTTGCTCTTGCAGCGGGTGCCACGTCTCACGTCACATTCTCTCTGAACCTCTGCGCCTCATTTTTCTCTACTGCTACTGGTACTGTAGTTCCTAATTATCATCTCTGGAATGGTTAACATGCTAGCATTAATGGAACTGTTAGCTTGGCCAGTATTGTCGTCCATATTCATTAACTTCTGAGTTCTGATAACGTACCCTGTACCAGGTCTGCGGATTATTACCGCTTTCTCTCTTTCTTCAGCGTGCGTGACACCCCTAAGTCCAACAACAACCGCAGGCAAGTTCCTGGCTTCTTCCTCCACTGGTACTATACTGTACTTCCGTTTTAAATAGGTTTACCATAATTATATATTCTATAAAATTTAATGATACTTATTATAAACATAAATATTAAGATTTCATATATTTCAAAAATAAATTTATTGATTTACTGTTTTTAAGATGGGGTGAGTATTTTTGTACCTTTTCCTTTTTTGAGTTAAATTTTGTACCTTTTCTTTTGCGGGCTTGCTAGCGCCCGGACGTCTGGGCGCCTGCACATGTAGACCATTTTCCACACCGTCTTGCGTGCCCATGCGGGGCAATGCCACCCTGAATGTTACCAGCATTGAGAACGATGGGGAGGAGGAGGGGGATGCTCAGCCCGACGCCGGGAGAAGGAGGAGACACCGAGGCGAGGCAATAGAAAGCGAGGAGACAGATGCAACATCCGATCTACTTTTGAAACATCCATATACTACACTTACAACATACGTCTGAAGGCAGATAAAACATTCATTTGAAACACTTGCGAAAGCACCTGAAAACACTTAAAACCACTATAAAACATACGCAACATCCAGAAAAAAATGCTTGCAACATATGTGTGAAATATATGCAACATCCAAATAACAACACTTGCAACATACGTCTGGAAAACGGATGAAACATTGGGAAGAGAAGCTTGCAACATATGTGTACAACCATTGCAACATATGCAAACATCCCGATCTACTTATGCAACATCCGCATGAAAACACTTGCAACATACCTCTGAAACATCTAAAACACTTCATACATACGCTAGCAACATGTGCTTCTTCCTGTTGTGGTGTCTTCGGCCGATCGCGGGAGACATTGTCCCAGCCGGCAACGACCTTCTCCCGGTGGCGTGGTGCACGCCGTGGTGCCATGACGGGTGAGCGCAGAGTGGGGCGCGGTGGGGGATCCCGCAACGGATGGATGGCCGCGATAGGCGAGGCGAAGAGGGGCAGTGCGGTGCAGGATGGGCGCACGCGGGGAGATGGCTACGGCGGCGATGCAGAGGGGGCGGGCGGACAACCGCACGTCGCATAAAAGCACACAACGAGCGAGTAAGCCAAGAGATATTTTTTGGAGAGAGATGGGAGAGACGTACAGAGAGATATGCTTGTTGGGCTAGTACGGTGGCGCGCAGGCCTAAAAGATGACGTTCAGTCTGACGGACGCCCGCCCGTGCTGTGTTGCAAAAGAGGCCAGCCATTTTGATCAGCGATAAACTCGTCATGTTGCCCACGTGCCGCGGCCCTGATGCTAACTGGGCCTATGTAAGTGTTTGCAGAAGCGTCCCTGGGCTGGGCCGATCTCTGGCGGTGCACTGTGCCTCTGCGACACTGCTCCACCTTCTAGGCCGCAACACGGAACGTAACCAGCTGCTACGTCGAGCAGGGCTGGCTCGAACTCGGCATTGGTTCTTCTGTTTTTTTTATTCCCTCTCCAATTTTCCAGACCACTCAGCAAACGTTCCAATGTGGAGATGGAAATTCACGAGACACAGGACACTGAGCCGAGCCACACGACGGCGCGGACGCCGCCGACGATTGGCCGGCGACCAGATTGGCAAGGAAATGGACATCCATTGGTGGCGCCGGCCGTTAGGGCCTTTTCCGTCAAACCGGCACCAAAAGTGCTGTGCCACATCACTGTTTGTTTGGATAGCGGGAAAAAAATTGTTCCAACGTTTTTTCTATCAAATTGAAACGATTCTTGTGAAATTCCCGTAGACCCCAAACGTTACGGGCACATCCCACTGACAAACCGGGCCCACAAGCTGCTGATGCCCATTCATCCGCCAACATCTCTTTCCGGTCGCCGTCGCGACTCACGCCGCCTCCTCGCTACCCGCTACACTACTACCACGGCACCTCCCATGAGATGAGAGCCGCAGCCGCAGCCACAGCCACAGCCGCCGCGCTCCTCGCCCCGGGTCTAAAGCTCTGCGCCGGACGCGCGCGCGTCTCCTCCTCCTCCTCCTCCTCCCGCCTCCCACTCCGCCGCGTCGCCGCCATGGCCTCCGCCCCCAACTCCTCCTTCCGCCCAGAGGAGGCGCGCTCCCCTCCCGCCCTCGAGCTCCCGACCCCGCCGCTCTCCAAGGTGACGCCCTTCCGATTCGGATTCCTTCGGGCTTGGCTTCTGACGCAGGTCGGGGCTTTGATCTGACCTCGGGGCGAGTTTTCTTCTGTGAGCGCAGTTCAAGGTGGCGCTGTGCCAGCTCTCGGTGACGGCGGACAAGAGTCGCAACATCGCGCACGCGCGCGCGGCCATCGAGAAGGCGGCCTCCGACGGCGCCAAGCTCGTGCTCCTCCCCGTGAGTCTCTGATAACAGGCCTTATGTTACCATCTGTTCTTCTGGTATTGATGCCGGGTTGAATTCAAATCGGAACGGTATTTCGGCTGGTAGTGATCGCGTTGTTGTTTAATCATTTGACGGTTGTTCATGGGTGCGTCCCTTGTCGACAGTGTTAGGTACACTAATTGAGGGCTACTCTCGTCCTCTGGCAGAGGAGTGCGTCATTGGACATGGGGTAGTGTTCACTGGGCTATTTCCATGAAATGCTACATAACCAAGCTAGCTATTCCCGTGGGAAGATTATTGATGACAGTATGACACCAAGATCACAAACCTTTTTTTTTAGCTAAAAGCGTAAAATTCACTATGGAAATGATTCAAAGCTAATTTTCAGGATTGGGCTGTGGTAGCATAATTCCTCTTTCAGGTTGGACACAACTGAAGTGTTTTACTCAACAGCCAGGTCTTTAGGTGTCAGTGTTTTGGACCGGGGGGTCATCAACCAACCAGTAAATGTGAACTGCGTGCCCCTAATCCCGGATGGTGATGCAAAGAGACACAAAGTTTATACTGGTTCAGGCAATCGATGCCCTACGTCCAGTCTGAGAGATCGATCTTGTATTCCTTGCAATCAAGTGCTAGCCGTGGGGGTTACAAGCACAATGAGAGAGGGAGCTAATCCTGTGTCTCGGCGAGGTGTCGTGGTGGGCGGCTTGAGACGTTGCTCTCGGTAATTTGGGATGCGTATGTGTGTGTGCTATCGTGTGTGTCTTCTTCTCCTCCTTAGAAATGGCCCCGGGCGCCCCCTTTTATAGCCATAAGGAGGGCCGTGTAATACATGAGAGAGCTATACGTGAAACCTTAGAAGGAAGATCTAGTACTCTATCCTCAGAGCAAGACAAAGGCCGGAATGACAATTGATATTTGATCATCGGGCGCTTGTGCGTCTTGGCTGAGCCCGAGGTTGTTGAGGTCGTGGGGTCCTTGTTGATGTCTAGTCGATGATGGCTTCCATCGTAGGGAGCATCATGCCGTGCCTTGTGTGTTCTTGACTTGGTGGAGTCTTGAGGCTGGCGCGTGTCAGAGTGGTGATCGTGCCGAGGGCTCGCTTTGCTGAGGCCCGGAGGTGACCCGTGTATGATGCGGGGTCTCTCGGTGGTCTGCGTGCATGCTTGGTCAAAGTGGAGAAGTGCGGGCGCGTGTCCATAGGGCACGGTAACCCCTGCACGTCGATGGGGATGGTAAAAGGAGATTTGACCACGTCCCCATCGCCTCGCTTCTTTGCACCACGATCGTGGTGGTCGTCGCCGTGGTGGTGTGCGACCGGGCGCACTTAAACGGATGTGACGGCTTGCCGAGGGGCGTTGAGGCGAGGCGACGAGGATGCGGATTTGAGCCCGCCCTCGGCCGAGGCGCGAGAAGGAATAATCGTCCGAGGCCCTACCGGGGTCTCGGATGAGAGCGAGAAGAAAAGTAAATCGTCCGGACCCCTCGCCGGGGTCTCTTGACGAGGCGAGGACGAGCGGTTGGTCTTTCATGCTGATTCCGAGACTCATCGGGACCCGGACTTGACCCTCCACGCCACTTTGTCCTTGGCGCAGAGTTAAAAACCTGAGCGATGTTCGGTCCCCGTCCCCGTCGTGGATCATTCTGCTCTGTCTGATCAAAGGCCGACGCGGTACCGACGTTATGGAGTAGCGGCGCATTAACCGGACGTGACGTTTTGTCGAAGTCGGTCGGGGACGGAGATGACGAGGTTGTTTGCCGAGCCCACCTCGGGCGAAACGGAGAATTGGTATCCCAAATGAGGCCTTGCGGGGGGCCTCCTCGGCGAGGGGCCTCAGCGAGACGGAGGGCTTTGGCCTTTCGTCTGAGGCTTCTCAAGCCTGCAAGCCTTGGGCGAAGTCGGAGAATCTGCCGAGACCTCGTGGTCGCCCTTCGGCTTTGATTTTTGCAAGGCTTAAGCAATATTTTCGGTTCTTGCTTAGGGTACCCTTCTTGTGGTATCCGACAAGAGCCCCCGAGCCTCGGGAGGAGCGCGGCACTCTCCGAGGTTTTGGACGAGACTTGGCTCAAAGCAGACTCCGTCGGGATTGTGTTTTGTATTTGGTGGTTCCGGTGGGTGCGGCGTGGCCACTCACCGGGTGTATCTCTCGAGGCCCCGGAGGAGTGGAGTTACTCCTTGGGGGCTTTTTTTTTTGTGTTTTGTTTGAGCGAGGAGTTTTTATCGTGTTTGCCGAGCCCACAAACGCAAGTTCGGGTTCTGGGGGTCTCGGCGATCTTTGCAGAAAAGCCCTCAGCCTCCACACGGAGCGAGAGGTCCGTCGAGATCCCCGACTTTGGGTACGACCCTCACGCTTCCTTTTCGCTTTCGGAAGGAGGCGGAATGTGCCAGAGCTACCCTCGATGGGCACGAGCGTGGGCACTTCCGGTGAGTCATTATCGGGTAGTCCGAGTGGAGGCCCGAACCCCGTTCGCTAAGGGTCGGCTAAGCGGTCCCGGAGACGCACTCCAAGAGTACCGGAGGGTTTCTCTAGTGGGTGCCGAGGCCGTCATTGGCCTCGGCCTCGGCTGGCTCGTGCCTCCCTACGGTGGGATCCCATTCGGAGACTTCCCGCCGGTCTCGGACACGATTTAGGGCGCCCCGAGCGATCGAGCGATCGTTCGCTCGGGCCTCGGCCATTCGTGAGGCTCGCCCGAGGTCGCCCCGACTCTGTTGCCACAGGGCGATCTGCCGAAACCTCTGGAGGCCCAGCCTTCGAACCCCTGGACCATAACGGGCTTGGTGCCCTTTATCGTATTTGTAACGGAACTTCTAGCGTGGACTTAGACCGTTTGTCTTTGTCTTGGGCGCAGGAGGAGCCCCGAGCCTTCGCCAGGAACAGGAGGGCGGTTAGGGGTCCCCTAGCTTTTTCATCCGACCCTCACATATCCTTTTCGCTCGGACAGAGGGTTTGTTTGCCGAGCCCACTCTGGTGCGAGCCAGAGCCACTGGTCTCGGCAAGGTTGCGGGAAGAGAGCCCCTAGCCTCTGCTTGCGGAGCGAGAGGGCGTCAGGGAGTTCCCTCGGCTTTTTTACCCCTCGCTGCGTGAGGGTTTGTCTGCCGAGGCCCCTTTGGGTGCCAAATGGGTCGTGGGGTCTCGGCGTATCTGCAGGAAGAGCCCCCTAGCCTCTGCACAGGGCGAGAGGGCCGTCAGGAGCTCCCCTGTCTTTTTGTACGACCCTCACGCTTCCTTTTCGCTCGGAAGGAGGGTTTGTTTTGCCGAGCCCCTTTGAGTGCGAGCTGGGGTCACCGGGTCTTGGCAAGGTTGCAGGAAGAGCCCTTGGCCCCGTGATAGAGCGAGAAAGGCGTCGGGGGTTCCCTGTCTTTTGTACGACCCTCATGCTTCCTTTTTTGCTCGGAAGGAGGGTGGAAGGTGCCTCGCTACCCTCGATGGGCATGGCGTGGGCACTTCCGGTGAGTGTATCGGGTAGTCCGAGTGAAGGCCCGAACCCCATTCGCTAGGGGACGGCTAGTGGTCCGAGACACACTCCAAGAGTACCAGAGGATTTCTCTAGTGGGTGCCGAGGCTGTTCATTGGCCTCGGTGGCTTGGTGCCTCCCTACGGTGGGATCCCATTCGAGAGACCTTCTGCCGGTCTCGAGACACGACTTTAGGCGTCCCAAGCGTTTAAACTTGCTTGGGTCTCGGCCCAGTATAGGCTCGCCCCTGATGGTCGCCCCTGACTTATTATCTCAGGGCGGCCGTCCGAAACCTCTTGGGGCCCAACCTTGAACCCCTGGACCAGAACGGGCTCGAGCTCGGTTCCTTCATATGAAAGGAATAGGCCGTGGGAAAAATCTTCCCTATTGGCTCGGCAGAACGGGTGGCGCGCTTTTGAGGCGGTTTGAGGCGAAAACGACGCTCACGCCGTAGTGGTGAAAGCGTGACGTGGTGGATGGGACGAATCGCTTTCTCGTATTTAATGAGGGAGGCGTGGGCGCGTGGGCGGCGAAATCGGCTCAGAGGTTAATCACTTGCCGGATCGGGGAACTTCCCGATTCCGTCGCCTGCTTCGCTTCGCCTCCTCCCCGCATAAATACCGAAGAGTCCCGCCTCCTCGTCTTACCTTGCCCACATTAGCACTCGCCTCCGTCGAGCCGCCGCTAGAAGCGTGGGGTGCCGGAAGAAGAGGGAGAAGAAGCGAGCCTAGGGAGAAAGCGAGGAAAAAAGTAAGAGCGTGGGAGAGAGAAAAACTCACCGCCGCACCCGATTCCTCCATCGCACCCATGGCCGGTGACATCGTCGTTGTCGGGGCGGACCCACAGGATCCGTCGGACGTCACCGAGGAGATGCTTCAGATCCGCTTGTCGACGGCGGACTCCTTCGCCGGTGATGTAGACCCCCGCCAGCCGGAGTGGATTGCTCCGTCGGCGAAGCGAGAGCCGAGGCCCCGCGACGGCTACGTCGTAAGCTTCGCTCCTTTTTTCACGAAGCGCGGCCTTGGCGTCCCGGCGGATCGGTTCATGCGGGCGCCTCAAGATTACTACGGTGTGGAGCTCCACAACTTCAACCCCAACTCCATCGCCAGCGGCTATCTTTGTTGCCGTCTCATGCGGGGTACTTGGGGATTGCTCCCCATTGGGAGTTGTGGCTCCACCTATTCCGGGCGGGCACACTACCAAGCCGACGGGCACGTCGAGTACGAGGAAGGCGACGAGGGCGGCGGTTGCACTCTCCAAGTCGCGCCAGACCGCTGCACCTCTACATTCCGGCCCACTAAGCGTCATCCAATCGCCGGTGGTACACGAGTTGGTTCTACCTTCAACGACGACGGAGGACTCCCCTACACCGGCGGGATTGTGGGGAGTTGCCCGGAGAGATGGAAGTACTGGCGTCCGAAGACGACCAGGCCGAAGCCAAGCCGGAGCCGCTTCGAGGGGGCGGGCGAGGTGAGGGGGCACGCAGTCTCACCGCTGTCAGTAGTCGTGGCCGCCTTCCACCGTCGGAGGTGTTGCCGCCGATGGCTCGGCGGCGG